GGTGGGGCTCATAGGGTGTGGTGGGGGCTCATAGGGTGTCGGGGGGGCTCATAGGGTGTGGTGGGGCCTTACAGGTTGTGAGAGGATCTCACGGGGTATGGTGGGGTCTCATGGGGTGTGGTGGGACTCACGGGGTGTGGTGGGGGCTCACAAGGTGTGGCAGGGCTCATGGGGTATCCAGCCACATATAAAGCAAATGAGTTTTATTTGAACAGGTGGTGGGAATCAGGCCCCCTTTTTCTTAGATGCCTGACTTGCTTCTTCTAAACTTCTAAGCCTCCAGCTGGGGAAGATCAGCTCCTTGGGAAGGTTGATTGAAGACTCACACATTGCCAAAGACATTGAGCGCCAGCCCCTGCAGCTGGTCCCCTCTTTTACACCCCTGGAAGTTGTTCCCCTTGAAGACCAGGCTTCTTAGTGTGAACCATAACCCTCCAATAATAACCATCTCATCTAGCCCTACGCTGGGGCTATGTTAGCCAGGGCACCGTGGTCCACCTCACCCAGCGCCCTACTGTGCCAGCTCCACTTTCAGGAACCTTCCCGGGACCACACAAGAGTCCTTCAGGCTATGGGCTTCTTTCCCAATTGAGGCTTGGAAAGGGATGACCGATATTTGATCGATAGCCAGCTGCTAAATTAACATAGGAGCTTTGGGAGTATTAAGCCTTTACCTTCAGTCACCATTCACATACTCAGTAGCTGTGCATTGAATGAACACCTACTGTGTGCATGGGTCTAGGGATGCCACAGGGGATGGAGCAGCCGGGGTCCCCACCCTCCTGGAGCTGGTGGCCTGGCAGAGTGACCTGTGTCTGAAGGAGATGCACAGCATGCTCAGGGAACACACCCTGGGGGTGGGAGCAGACCAGGGGGGACCGCAGTGGCTGCACCAGGAAGTCATACGTCACCTAATACTGAAAGCTGGACAGGAAGCAGCCCGGTGGTGGTTTCTGGGTTTGCAGGGGGCCAGGAACTGCAGAGACCAGAAAACATCCCGGGTGACGGGCCAGGAGAGGAAAGGAGTGGTGCGGAATCTTTCCTGCATGTGGCCTGCAGCTGCATTTAGAATTCAGAGAGGCAAACCCTGTCTTATCGCTTTAGAGTTCCGTCCATCTGTAGCGTGAGGAGCCCTGGTCTGTGGCAAAGGCAGACAGATGGCACCTGTTGGTGGAAAGGCAGTTTGTCCAAGCGGACACAAAGTCAGCTGACGGGCCACTTACAAGAGACATGCGTGAAGACCGGAAGTAGAGATGAGACATAAATACCAAACAGAATAAATACCAGGGTCTGTTATCCTTATCAAACAAAATCGGCTTTAAGATAAAAGGCAGTAGTAGGGATAGAGTTGCTATATAATGATAAAAGAATCTATTTATTGGGACGATACACACATTTAGAAATGTTTATGTAACTAATAAAGTGGACTCAGAATATACATATAGAAAGCACAAATTCCTTTAAAAAGTCAAGGGAAATTGATAAATAAGAATCAGAATGGAAATTTTAAAGACTGGAAAATAAGGAAAGTATCACATATCAAAATTTGTAGGATTTAATAAAAGCAGAACATAGAAGGAAATTTATGAGCTAAGTGGTGTAAGTTGAGTTTTCGAAAAAAGAACAATAGAATAAACCCAAAAAGGAGATAATAAAGAACAGAAATCAATGAAATAGAAAATAAAGAGACAAGAGAGGATCAATAAACAAAGCCAGGAGTTGTCTTTTTTTCTAAAACAACAAATTCCAGTGGGATTGATGAAGAGTAAAGAATGAAAGCACAAATAATATCGGAAGGGGAAAAGGAGACAGAATCACTTTGAGGAGCCCTGAGTGGTGCAGATGGTTAGCAAGCTTGGCTGTTAACCAAAAAGTTGGAGGTTTGAGCCCATGCAGAGGTGCCTCAGAAAAAAGGTGATCTACTCTGGGATGTGGGGACCATGGTCTCGGGGAACATCTAGCTCAATTGGCATAACATCGTTTATAAAGAAAATATTGGGGGGTCTTAAAAGCTTGTGAGCAGCCATCTAAGATACTCTGCTGGTCTCACCCCGTCTGGAGCAAGGGAGAATGAAGGAAAGCAAAAGCATAAGTGAAAGATTAGTCCAAAGGACTGATGGACCACAAGTACCACAGCCTCCAACAGACTGAGTCCAGCACAACTAGACGTTGCCCAGCTACCACCACCTACTGCTCTGACAGGGATCACAATAGAGGGTCCTGGACAGAGCTGGAGAAAAATGTAAAACAAAGTTCTAACTAAAAAAAAAAAAAGACCAGACTTGCTGGTCTGACAGACTGGAGAAACCTCCAGAGTGTGGCCCCCAGACAGCCTTTTAGCTCAGTAATGAAGTCACTCCTGAGGTTCACCCTTCAACCACAGATTAGACAGGCCCATAAAACAAAATGAGACTAAAGGAGCACACCAGCCCAGGGGCAAGGACTAGAAGGCAAGAGGGGACAGGAAATTTGGTAATAGGGAACCCAAGGGGAGAGTGTTGACATGTCGTGGGGTTGGTAACCAATGTCACAAAAGAATATGTGTACTGATTGTTTAATGAGAAGCTAGTTTGTTCTGTAAACCTCCATCTGAAGTACAATTAAAATAAAAATTTTTAAAAAAGTGATCTACTTCTGAAAAATCATCCCTTGTAAATCCTATGGAGCATAGTTTTAATCTGGCATACATGGGGATCACCATGAGTTGTAATCAGCGCAACACCAACTGGTTTTAATTGCTTTGAACAATTTTATGCTAATAAATTTGAAACTTAGGTAAAATGGATAAATTCCCAGAAAAATACAACACTTTTTCAAAACTAATTTAAAAGTGGAAAGCCTAAATAGTCCTATAACCAGTAAAGAATTTGCATCAATATATTAAAAATTATGACCAAGTTGGGTTTTTCTTAGGAATACGAGGGTGATTTAACATTGTAAAAATCTGTAAATGTCATTCACCTCACTAATAGATTTAAGGAGACAAAAAGCATGATTTTTTCAATGAGTGCATGACTTTTTTCCCATTCATGTTTAGAAAAGAAGGAATGGAGAGAGGGAGGCGAAAGCCTTTTACCAAACTAGGAGTAGGAGGGAACTTTGTAACTTAATAAAGGACAGCTATAGAAAACCCACGCTGACTTAAATAATGATGGGGAAATATTAGAAATATCCCCTTTAAAACTGGGTAAGACAAGGATGCTCGCTCCACCGCTTCTATTCATCCTTGTACAGGAGAGCCGATCCAGTGCAATAAACAAGAAAAATAAATGAA